GATCAGGGGAGGCTCGTTTTGGACCAGAATTAGATGGGGAAAAGCTGTGGCGGGGTCAGGTGTTCGGAGCCAGGATGGGCGCAAGAAAGGAAAGAACAGTGTTTTTTTGATTTAAAGGCTTACGCCTGACAGCCGGGCGCCGGCGAACTAGGGTAAGAGAGGTGGGGGTCGAGGCGACGGTAGGCGTTGCTCGCGGTGTGGGCGAGGTGTGGTGTCGGGAAGAAGACGGGGGCCGGGGTTTGGGGCACCCCGGCAGCACCCGTCAGAGGGACGGGGGCTGACTGCCCTGGTTGCTTGCAGCAACCAAAAGTCGGGAGAGCCGTCGGAGAGAGAGGAGGCACGTGGAGCGCGATGCATGCTGGGAGGCGGCAGCTGTCAGCTGGCAACAAGAGCGTCGCTCATGCCAGCCAGCCACAGCCCTGGTGAGGAGAGGCAGACGTCATTCCACCCTCAAGGACATTGTCTGCAAGTTGATGCGCCAGCGAGGCCGGCGGGGGTGGAGAGGTTGGGGGTCGAGGCGTCGACGCCGCAAGTTGGAGACGCAGGGTGGCAAAGGACTTAGACAGCGTGCCACAGAGAGTAGTTTGCAAGAAACAGTCGACACCGGAAAGGGGACAAACAGTCGACACCGGAAAGGGGACAGATAGAGAGACTGGCGAGACGTGGGCTCAACAACAGGCGGGCCTGTGAACAGAACAAGAGCATGTGCAAGCCAGAAACAGCCTCCAACCCAAAGACACCAGAAGCAACCAGTGCTGAACTCCCAGAGCGATAGGATAGCCAAGAGTAGAGTGCAAGAGAAGCTAGGAGACGGCTAGGGTTAGAGAGCAACAGCAACCAAGCACACCTGACCTTTTTTATCCCCGTTGAAATTTCCTCTACAAAAAGGGAGAGCTGGAGGCCCTTGCAAAGGGGCTATTTTGTAACGAGGCAGTTTTTGGCACCTGTAGAACACCATTTTTTGTAGAGAAATCACCTTGCTGTATGGATGGCTATGCGCCTGTAAGCATAAGATAGCAATCTTGAGGCAGCATCATTTTGTACACGCCCACTCTGGTACATGCCATTTTGTAGATGGCAAACCAGCTTGGGTCAGAGCTTTTTGTAGACCCCAAACTTGGTCCCGTTACAAACGGTTCGCCCCAACCTCTCCCCCTTTGTTTTAACGGGGATCCTTTTTTTTGCATTTTGTGTTCGGTTTCAGCGGGGGGGCGTGTGAGCAGGGCAGGAGCACGTGCAAAGCAGAGCAACAAAGCTCTCACGCCATGACACCAGAAGCAACCAAGCACACCCGAATCTTTTTTTTGTGTCGCTGCTCTGGGTCGGCTGCAGCCATGGAGACCGGCGGCGCCGCGGTGCGCGCAGCTGACATACCGAGAGCGTCGCTCACGGTGGTGTTGGTGGATTCGACGGGCTACGGTTGGTTGCCCGGGCAAAAGTTGGGAGACGCTGCGATGGATTTTCGCAAGTGTGGGGGCGTTGAGACGGTTGCGAGCATTGTTAGTGGGGGCAGCATTGTGAAGGCTGGCAAGAAGGATGGCACGAACATCCTCGACCAGTTCATGCAATGGGTCTTGGACGGCGGGGAAGAGACCCATGGAGGGGACGTGGAGGTGGAAGTGGGCGTGGTGCCAGCCCGCGACTCCGTGCAAGGGGCACGGTATGAGGCCCTCGGGGTCGCGCGGCTGGCATGTGGTGTCCCGGAGTTGAGCAAGAGCATCTTGGAGATAGTCCCTGGTGCCTATGGAGTGGCCAAAAAGGCCTTGCACTTTCTGCCTGCCTGCGCGTCGGAGAGCATGGAGCGGGTAGTGGAGGCGGCGCGAGCCGAGCTGGAAGTGCGTCGAGCAGAGCGTCGCTCAGCCGGCGCTGAGGGAGCCCCCGCGTCAGAGCGTCGCTCAACCGGGGGCAGCGGGGCTTGGGTCGCCGTGGTGATCTGTGCCGGGTGGAACTGCAACGAGGTGGAGAATTTGCAGGAGGCATTTGTCGTGAAGCAGCTCTGCGAGACGCAGACGTGGAGCGAGTTCTTTGGGCCTGCTCGGCTCACTCTAGCAAGAAGCGGGCATGGGCCAAGACGGCACAGGCCTTGGACTTGGCGCCGCCGAAGTTGTTCCAGACGAACCGGGAGGACCACCCACAAGCTGCAGCCAATAAGGCACAGTTCGCCCAAGGGTTGGAAAGACATTTTGTGGGAGACGCAGAGTGCGTCAAAGACATCAAGAGCCTGGGCGGGTCTGCGCTCCTCGCGCGCTATGAGAGCTTTCAGCAACCTGCCCATAGGGCGGACCTGTGGCGGTATATTCGCTTGTGGAAAGAGGGTGGAAGTTACTTGGACATCAAGATGGCGTTGCTGCAGCCGTGGAGCACAACCCTGCAAGAGATTTATGCGGAGGGAGAGAGATGCTTGGAGGGACAGCGCCTCGCGCAGTCCTCGGGCCAGCGCGTCGCGCCGCCCACGGAGGTGCGAGATTTGTCACAAGTCCCGCACCTCCTCCTCACCATCGGACAAAACCGCAAACATATCTTCCAGGGGAACATTTGGCACGCGTGAACTCGTATGAAAAACCTGCCTGAGGGGACTTGTCCCTCCCGGGGTCCTCGAAGAACAAGTGCCGTACTTTGAAACAGTTTCATGACCCTCATTTCCAACCTCCAGCCCTAATGCCCACTCGGGCATTGCACGCCCTTGCAGTGTCAGAGATGTCGACGCAGAGTTTTGCCAAACAAAAGCTGTGAGCTAGTGGCCAGAGCGTCGTTCATGCCAGCTACCCACAACCCAGTGATGCCTTGCAATTATTTTGACGCAATGCAAATTTTCCTTCAACCTATTTCGTATTGCCAGAACAGAGCT